GACACACACCCTGAGGCACTGGGCCACAGGCTCCAGGGACTGAAAACCGGAAAGCCTCGCAGCCAAGCCTTCTGCACACCCCGCTGCGTGTGCCAGCAGCCTGCAGCTGGCCTGGACGCCCACTCCCCCCAGCCTATTTGCTGCACTGCTGAGCACAGCAGCTTTTTTCGGGTGGCTGAACCCCCTGGAGCACGCTCACAGCCTAGGGCCTGGGAACAGCTGGTGCCCCACTGTAGCCTTTGCCCTCTTCTGGGCCCACTCTGGGGGTGGATGGAACAGCAACACCATTGGCCTGGGGCAAAAGATGTCTAGGAAGCCACTGGTGATGCCATCCCACCATTTGGCTCTGTCTCTGATCCACATGTGACCTTCATTCCCCGCCACCACCTGCAGGCTGAGCTTCACCTGGCATGTACTGTGTGGGATGAAGAAGGTTCCCTGGACTTCAGGGAGATGCAAAAAGAGGAGGGAGTCTGGAGAGATGGATGCTGGAGGTCGGGGGAAGGCAGAGTGAGCCCCTCTGTGCAACCCCATCCATTTTGCTAGCACTGCTTCCTTTGGCCCCTTCAACCTTCTTCACCCCCATTCTCACCCCTGCCCACCCAGTGCCTGAGCAGGTGGGGGCACCTGCTGAGGAGTGCAGGAAGGCAGCCTCGGCCTCCCTGTGCTTTTCAGGAAGCCAGCCTAGGTTAGCCCTGTTGTAGCCTCAGAGGCAGCACTGAAGGCCAGGCCCCCGTACCCACTTCTCCAGCTTATGGCCCTGCAGTAGCAGCTGTGCTCAGTGGCTCTGCTGCACCCCAATCCGAATCACACCCTCCCACGTCGGGAGACTGCAGCCCGGGAATCAGAGTCAGGCGCCAGTGTTCGTGCCACACTGAGGTTCTGCTCGCCCCACTTGTGTCTGCCACCAGCCTGTGCCAACCTAGCTCCCCACCCCCAGCCTGTTTGCCGCACTGCTGAGCACAGCAGAAGAGTTGGTCACTGGCTCTTCTGGGTCTCTATTTCCTCCTCTGGAAAATCAAGGGTTGGGTTTGCTCAGGGATTCTTTATGCGGTGAGGGGGTGAGTCATGAGCTCCTTGAAAGGTGTGGAATTATATGATAGAGACACTTATATGCTCTTGAAAGAAAAAATACATCTTTTTTTACAATTTTTTTTTTTTTTTTTTTTTGAGACAGAGTCTCGCTCTGTTGTCCAGGCTAGAGTACAGTGGCTCGATCTCAGCTCACTGCAACCCCTGCCTCCTGGGTTCAAGTGATTTTCCTGCCTCAGCCTCCTGAGCAGCTGGGATTACAGGCGTGTCTTACCACAACCGGCTAATTTTTGTATTTTTAGTAGAGACAGGGTTTCACCATGTTGCCCAGGCTGTTCTCAAACTACTGACCTCAAATGATCCACCCCCCTCACTCAGCCTCCCATAGTGCTGGGATTACAGGCGTCAGCCACCATGCCTAGTCCACAAATTAGTTTTGCTATTTTTGTTTTTTGTTTTTTGTTTTTTTTTTTGAGACGGAGTTTCGCTCTTGTTGCCCAGGCTGGAGTGCAATGGCACGCTCTCAGCTCACTGCAACCTCCTCCTCCTGGGTTCAAGCAATTCTCCTGCCTCAGCCTCCTGAGTAGCTGGGATTACAGGCACGTGCCACCATGCCCAGCTAATTTTTTGTGTTTTTAATAGAGACGGGGTTTCACCATGTTGACCAGGATGGTCTCGATCTCTTGACCTTGTGATCCACCCGCCTCGGCCTCCCAAAGTGCTGGGATTACAGGCTTGAGCCACTGCGCCCGGCCTATTTTTGTTTTAGAGACAGGGTCTCATTATGTTGCCCAGGGTGACGCCGTGTGTATTCACAGTACTGTCATAGCTCACTGCAACCCCAAACTCCTGGCCTCAAGCAGCCCTCCCCACTTAGCCTCCAGAGTACCTGGGATTACAGGCTTGCACCAATGTGCCCAGCAGGATACATCTTTTCTTTTTCCTTTCTTCGTGAGGAAACAAGAGGAGACATCTTTTAATCAGATTTTCTCAAGGCTACAGGACCTGGAAAAGATCCAGCAGTTACTTCAGGGGTTCTTTCTGCTTGGGACTCCTGTGGGAGCAGGTCCCTCCTAGGCACTGGCTTGGGAAGGGGTTGGAGGCCCACAGTGGAAAGAAGTCAACTCCAGGTGTGGGGTGAAGTTCAGAAAGAAGTGGGGAAACCCAAGGTCTTCCAAGAGGTGGGTTCCTACAACTTCATAACTCACCCCCCAAAACAAACAACAAAAACAGAACCAGAAAAGCAACTCCAGTGAGGCAGCAGCTGCCACCTGCATTGACCTGTGAGCGAGCAGCACCATCTCCTGGTCCAGGGTGGAAACCAGCTTCTGTGCTGCAGGCTCTGGAATCCCGGGAGGGTGTCATATTGGGTTACCTCATTCTTCTTTTTTTTTTTTTTTTTTTTTTTTTTTTGAGACGGAGTCTAGCTCTGTTGCCCAGGCTGGAGTGCACTGGCGCGATCTCAGCTCACTGCAACCTCTGCTTCCCGGGTTCAGGCGATCCTCCTACCTCAGCCTCCCGAATAGCTAAAACTACAGGTGCCTGCCACCACACCTGGCTAATTTTTGTATTTTTAGTGGAGATGAGGCCAGGAAGATCTCAATCTCCTGACCCTGTGATCCACCTGCCGCAGCCTCCCAAAGTGCTAGGATTACAGGTGTGAGCCACCTCATCGGGTCCTTCCTGTCGTTTTTTTTTTTTCTTTTTTTTGGTTAGTGGCGGGTGGGCAGGGTCTTGCTCTGTCACTAAGGCTGGAGTTTAGTGGTGCAACCTCAGCTCACTGCAGCTTTGACCTTTCGGGTTCAAGTGATCCTCCTATCTTACTCTCCCGAGTAGCTGGGACTACAGGGGCACACCCCACCATTCCTGGCTAATTTCTGTATTTTTTGTAGAGATAGGTTTTCGTCATGTTGCCCAGGCTAGTCTCAAACTCCTGGGCACAAGTTCTCCTGCTCAGCCTCTGCAAGTGGCAGGATTACAGGCCTAAGCCACCACACCCAGCTTTTCCTTCCCGTCATCTAGGAGGGGTCTATTGCATGGAGGGGTTGGGGTGGGTGGTCTCCAATACCCCTCCTCCTCTGGGCCAGGCCTGGGAAACAGGTATCCCACACACCAAGCTGGGAGCTTGGCCAAGACCCTTTCCCCTTTTTTTTTTTTTTGAGATGGAGTCTGGCTGTCGCCCAGGCTGGAGTGCAGTGGTGTGATCCTGGCTCACTGCAACCTCCACCTCTCCGTTTCAAGTGATTCTCTGCCTCAGCCTCCTGGGTAGCTGGGATTACAGGTGCCTGCCACCACACCCAGCTAAATTTTGTATTTTTAGTAGACATGGGGTTTCACCACGTTGGCCAGCTTGGTCTCGAACTCCTGACCTTGTGACCTACCCGCCTCAGCCTCCCAAAGTGCTGGGATTACAGGCATGAGCCATCGTGCCCTGCTAGACCCTTCCCTTTCTAGGCTTCAGCTTCCCCACTTCAAAGGGCAAGAGCTAATGGGTGAAACACACACCGCTGCTCCAGTGGCAAGGGAGATCCAGAAGTCAGTGGTTTCTTATCCCAGGATCTGATGCATATGATGGGGGGTCTTCAGGACTTTTTTTTGAGATGGGGTCTTGCTCTATTGCCAGGATGGAGTGCCATGGCATGATCTTGGCTCACTGCAACCTCTACTTCTTGGGTTCAAGTGATTCTCCTGTCTCAGCCTCCCGAGGTAGCTGGGATTACAGGCGCCTGCCACCCGTGCCCAGCCAGTTTTTTTTAGTAGAGGTGGAGTTTTGCCGCATTGGCCAGGCTGGTGTTGAACTTCTAACCTCAGGTGATCCACCTGCTTCAGCCTCCCAAAGTGCTGGGATTACAAGTGTGAGCCACTGTGCCCGGCTTCCTTGGGATATATTCTAAGTGTGGGCATCCCTGCCTTCTGCTACCCACCTCCCCATCCTGCCCCAAACAGGATGACACCAGAGGCAGAGCTAGGAGGGGTCTGCTGGCCCCAAGACCACAGCCAACCTCCCATTCCCACTCAGGTCTTGCCCTTTCCCATCGGCCTAGTGCATCCCCTGAAGGGTGCCAACTGGTCACCCCAACAAAAGAGTTCCTCAGAAAAGGGGTTGGGTGGAGTGGCTCACACCTATAATCCCAGCACCTTGGGAGGCGAGTGGATCATCTGTTAGGAGTTCGAGACCAGGCTGGCCAACAAGGTGGAACCCTGTCTCTACTAAAAACTGTAAAAATTAGCCAGGCGTGGTGGTACATGCTGGTAATCCCAGCTACTTGAGAGGCTGAGGTAGGAGAATCACATGAACCCAGGAGGGAGATCGCACCACTGCACTCCAGCCTGGGTGACAGAACGACTCTAAGTTTTAAACATTATCTCAATAAAACTGTTTAATGACAGCACAGGCAGTAACCAGTAGTCCAAGCTCAGGTCCCAGTTGCAACCCCTACTTGTCAACTGAGAAGCGTAAGGATGCTAAGTGCTTTCTATGGCTTTTGTAAAGAATGTGATTCCTTAACTGACATCACAACTGACTTCTGGTCCCGACCAACACCCAACTTCTTAGGTGCCACCCATGCTGTGAAGGTCAGTTTGAAGCACAGTATTTTGGAGGCTTGGATAGAAGCCATTCCTTCTCTCCCTATAGCCTACTAAAACAAGGTAGAAGACTCACTGAGCAGAATCCTGGCACTTTGGGAGGCCAAGACAGGTGATCACCTGAGGTCAGGAGTTTGAGACCAGCCTGGCCAACATGGTAAAGTTGAAACCCTGTCTCTATTAAAAATACGTAAATCAGCTGGATTTACGTGTGGTGGTACCAGCCTGCAATCCTAGCTACTCAGGAGGCTGAGGCAGGAGAATCGCTTAAACCAAGGTCCCACCACTGCACTCAAGCCTGGGCAACAGAGAGTGACTGCCTAAAAAAAAAAAAAAAAGACTCACTGAGCAGCCATAAACCTTGCAAGCAGCAGAGAGGCAAGCAGATAAAGGCTTGTTTTATTTAATGGCTGATCTATGTAATCACGGAGGCCAGTATGTACAGACAAAGGGGGCGCTTTTATTTCTTGGTCTCCTCCTCCTTGGACAGAGTCTTGATGATCTCCTCCTTTTTGGCCTGAAGGCGCTCTTCACGGCGCTTTCGTGCTTCCTTGGTCTTAGACCTGCGGGCCTCAGCCTGGTCACTGGTCAAAGAGAAAAGATGGGTCAGTTTGGGAAGAGATGAGATGCTGGGAAGATAAAGGCACATTCCCAGACTTCTCCTTTTGAGCCTAGGTTGCCTCAGAAATGAGTTGCTGGGACCACAAAGGGCTCCTGCTTCAACTAAACCTCTACAGTCCCTATGAGAACAGGACGGTTGGGTGCATACAGGACAGAGGAGTTACGCCTCTAACGGAACAGCTGTATTCCTATGACAGACTGTGACCAAGTCAAGACTTGGGCATCGGGACATTTTAAGTATCTAAGAACAACTCTCAAAATAAAGGTCAAAGAACTTTCCCCTAAGACTGTAATGCCAATTCCTGAAAACACTCACGCCAGGAGCTTCTTGCGGGCCTTGTCTGCCTTCAGCTTGTGGATGTGTTCCATGAGAATCCGCTTGTTCTTGAACACATTCCCCTTCACCTTCAGGTACAGGCTGTGATACCTGCAGGGTACACGGAGTGAAGAAATGCTGGTCGGTGATGGATCAGAGGCTGCCTTGTGAGCTGTTCCTCCACCCAAGACCACTAAGCTTGTATGTTCCTTTCCTTTCTCCTATTGTTGCATCAATTACTTCTCAAACCATGACTTTTTTTTTTCAGGCAGATCACTTGAGGCTGGGACTCTGAGACCAGCCTGGCCAACATGGTTAAACCCCATCTCTACTAAATATACAAAAATTAGCCAGGCATGGTGGTACATGTCTGTAATCCCAGCTAGTCGGGAGGGTGAGGCAGAATTGCTTGAACCTGGAAAGCAGACGTTGCAGTGAGCCAAGACCGTGCCACTACATTCCAGCCTGGGAGTGAGAGAGAGACAGACTGACTCCAAAACAAAAAACAAAAAAGCTCCCTAACCAGGGCCAGTAAGACAGTGTCTGTGAAAGAACAAGCCATCAAAGCAGCAAATGGATACTGGGCCTGCGAGGGCGGCTTACATGTGGCGATCAATTTTCTTAGATTCCCGGTATCTTCTGAGCAGCCGGCGCAGAATCCTCATTCTCCTCATCCATGTGACCTTCTCTGGCATTCGGGCATTGGCTGTACCCTTACGCTTACCTGTGGAGAAGATGAGTTAGGAATGGGCCACTGTCTGTAATACAGGAAATGAATAGTTTCAAGTCAGGGTCCTTAACTTATTTAATCCTCACAATCTCATTTTAAGTAGCATTACTTCCATTTTCCAATGATGATCCTAACTACTTAAGCTCCTTCATTTACTCAATTTTAAAGGAAGCACAAACATGGCAGTAATTCCCCATTCACTTCATACAGAATGTGGGTTTAACAGGCACTGCACCACAACAGTATAGCCCGTTGTAAGGAGCTTCCCTCAATCATTCTGACACTAGAAAGTAATTTTAGACTTAGACAGACAACATTCTCAAGGACCCAGCAGAATCCTTGGCATAGTGTAGGTAGGGACTTAGTGAATGTGACCTCCTACCAGCAATACTCTCAGCTCAATACCAGCACCAACTCTCTGATTTGCACACAGGCAGAAAACACATCAAATATCAAGGAGTTAAGAAATGGGCTCAAGATGAGACACAGAGTGCAAAGATCTTGAATATATTTTAGTGTAGACACCAGCCCCCATTATTTCTTACCTATGCCCATGTGCCTGCCCTTCCGGCGGGCCAAGGTGTTTTTCCGGCAGCGAGCCCGGGAATGGACTGTCACAGGCTTGCGGATGATCAGCCCATCTTTGATCAGCTTCCGGATCTGCTGACCTGAAAGCAGAGGTCCTGCTCACATTCCTGGCCTCATGGTCTCAAAAAGGATAGAAATACTGCAACTTGTTTATTTCTTAATAATAACTTGTTTATTTCTTCTTCTGAAAACCAAACAAAACCTCTATCTTTTCTTTTTCCTTCACAAACAGAAGTTGTGAGAGATACTTTTTGTCTTTCAGTCTCCCTATGTTGCCCAGGCCTGTCTTGAATTCCTAGCTCATGATCCTCCTGCCTCAGCTTCCCAAATAGCTAAGATTACAGATGCCTGCCGCCATGCCTGGCCTTTTCTACTTTTTAAATGTATTAGAGCACACTCAAAAGAACAAGCCTGATACAATGTCTCCTCCATTTTATACATCCCCTGAATAACGAGCTTTCATAGGTTTGTAGAGTCAACACAGGCTAGGTGTGGTGGCTCACACCTGTAATCTCAGCACTTTGGGAGGATGAGGGGGGCCTTATCACCTGAGGTCAGCAGTTTGAGACCAGCCTGGCCAACATGGTGAAACCCCATCTCTACTAAAGATACAAAAACTAGTCAGGTGTGGTGTCATGCGCCTTAGTCCCAGCTACTTGATGGGTGAGGCAGGAGAATTGCTTGAACCTGGGTGTGAATGCTTGGACCTGGTTGCAGTGAGCTGAGATCTTACCATTCCACTCCAGTACAGGTGACAGTGAGACTGTCTCAAAAATAAATAAATTAGCCAGGCGTGGTGGTGCACACCTGTAATCCCAGCTACTCGTAAGAGGCTGAGGCAAGAGAAATCACTCGAGTCTGGGAGTGGGGTGGGGGTTGCAATAAGATGCCACCAAAAGATGCCAAAACAACAACAAAAAAAGCAACGAAATTGTGTTATCATTTATCTGATGCCGGACAAGGGAAGGGGACAGATCCCAGATACTCACGCGAGTTAGCATTGGCGATTTCGTTGGTCTCATTCGGGTCCAACCAGACCTTCTTCTTGCCACAGCGGAGGACACTAGAGGCGAGCCTCTTCTGAAGCCTAAGCATACTGAACACACAAAAAACATTATTAGACCCTGAAAGCCACTCCTGGGCAAGAACGAACGTCCCCAAGACCCACCCTTTGCCACCCACACCACAGCCTCGAACTCAGACTCTTTACTCTGCTTTCTGGGCTCATTTCCTCGTTTTATCACAGTAACAAGCCACGTTCGGCCATTCATAAAGATTTCCTTTATGAGTGGCCAAAGGAAAGGAAAGCGTCAATCACCTCACTCCGCAGTCGGAGGCCTGGGGCCTAAGCTGAACTTGCCCTAAGTCACGTGAAAGCAGAGATCTGCTCGGCTCCGGTTGTGCCCAGCAAAAAAGGGCCCACGGCTCGGTCCCGGTCGCTGCCTTTGTTCTGCCCGCGTGGGTCGACCCGACACGTGTGCGGCGCGGCGCCTGCCGGGGCAGCCTTTCCGGGTCTCAGTGGCTGCGACGCTCCCCGCTCCCCCTACTCCGGAGGCCCGGGACAAGTGTGCTCCCGCCTACCCCAAACTCCGAGACCAGCCGCTTTACGCCGGCCTCCATCTCATCTCCCCTAACCCCGGCAGCGGTCCCAAGCCCGGCCATCCCCTGGCGGAACGCTTCACCGCCGGCGAGGGACCCGCAGGACCTCACCTCATGGCTGCGGCCGCAGCAGCGAAAGGAAAGAGCTCGCTTGGGCCTGGCTCCTCCCATTATCTGCGAAGGGGAAGAGCCCAAACCCCGCTCCAATTTCTTCTGCATTCCTGTACGGTTCTTTCGTCTTCCGCCACCCCAAACTCACTCATGGCCTCCATAAAGACCTGGAATGATAAACATCTAATATAGGAAATCGGTTTTAAACTTAAAAACATAGAAAGTGTACCCCTTCTGTAGGAAAAGTGGTATAGTCCGACTTCCTATTAGACATGCGCAGCAAGGGTACCAGATCCCGTGGTTATTTGTAACCGGAAGTCAGGTGGATTGCGCAGGCGGAGTGAGAGATTTTGCTAGAGGCCTGCTGTCTGTAGGCGTTCAGCTGGTTGTGGGTGGGTGTTTTATTAGCCGGAAAAAAAAGTCAGTTAAAGAAGCGAGAGAGGCTGGGCGCGGTGGCTCACGCTTGTAATCCCAGCACTTTGGGAGGCCGAGGTGGTTGGATCACGAGGTCGAGAGATGGAGACCATCCTGGTCAACATGGTGAAACCCCATCTCTACCAAAAATACAAAAAATTAGCTGGGCATGGTGGCGCGTGCCTGTAATCCCAGCTACTCAGGAGGCTGAGGCAGGAGAATTGCCTGAACCCAGGAGGCGGAGGTTGCGGTGAGCCGAGATCGCGCCATTGCACTCCAGCCTGGGTAACAAGAGCGAAACTCCGTCTCAAAAAAAAAAAAAAAAAAAAAAAAAAAGACAGCCAACTCTTGGGAGTGTGGGAACCAGTCTCATTGGGCTCACAACTGTACTGTGGCAGACATGAATCCTCCATCCAGCACACCTGAGAAATACTGCATTGGTTGCATGGACGAATGATTGCAGAAAATAAATTTTTTTTAAAAGAGGGGGCTGGACTCGGTGGCTCACGCCTGTAATCCCAGCATTTTGGGAGGCCAAGGTGGGTGGATCACTTGAAGTCAGGAGTTAGAGACCAAGGTGAAACCCCGTCTCTACTAAAAATACAAAAATTAGACGGGCGTGGAGGTGGGCACCTGTAATCCCAGCTACTTGGGAGGCTGAGGTGGGAGAATTACTTGAACGTGGGAGGCAGAGGTTGCAGTGAGCCGAGAAGGCGCCACTGCACTCCAGCCTGCATGACAGAGTGAGACTTTCTAAAAAAAAAAAAAAAAAGTCAGGACCACTTGAGGCTCGAACTCATGATTGGTTCCCGCTGATCACCCTATCTCTTTTATCTCAACTTTCCTGCCTGAGAAAGTAGGAGAGAGAAAGGGAAGCAATATTTATTCTACTTCCTCACATCACAATTAGTGTCGTCCTCATTTTTTTTTTTTTTTTTTTTTTTGAGGCGGAGTTTCGCTCTTGTTACCCAGGCTGGAGTGCAATGGCGCGATCTCGGCTCACCGCAACCTCCGCCTCCTGGGCTCAGGCAATTCTCCTGCCTCAGCCTCCTAAGTAGCTGGGATTACAGGCATGCGCCACCACGCCCAGCTAGTTTTTTGTATTTTTAGTAGAGACGGGGTTTCACCATGTTGACCAGGATGGTCTCGATCTCTCGACCTTGTGATCCACCCGCCTCGGCCTCCCAAAGTGCTGGGATTACAGGTTTGAGCCACCGCGCCCGGCCGTGTCCTCCTCATTTTACAGCTGAGGTAACAGATTGAGAACGCAGGTATCTCTGACTGCCAAGCCCATGCTTTCGCGGTTATGCCAGCCTTTCTTGTCTCCAAGGGGCAGGTGGAAACCCTGCTCAGGATTGGAGCTCTTCCTGGAAGGTTTCTAAGGGGCTTCATCTTCACTCACTGCTCCTCCTTCCCCAAAGTGATGTGATCAGAGAAATGACAGGCTGACCATTCACTTGTTATCAGAATCGGGTGAGGAGGAGGAGTCCCATAGTCTCCTCTCCTGCAGAACACAGCAAGCTGGCATTATTTTAAGGTCACTTGACCTGGAGAGGGTCTTCTCCATCTCTCTTTTCTGTGGAGCAGGAGAAGGGGTGAAGTAGGAAGGAACTGGGTCCTCCTGTCATGACTGACTCTTTCATTACACCTTACAGCTTTTCCAAACAACCCAGCAATCCATTTAATTCTCCCTTATCCTCCCAGTAATACCAGGTGACACAGACTCCACAGTACCAGGAATCCCATTTTTTTTTTTTTTTTTTTTTTTGAGACGGAGTTTCGCTCGTTACCCAGGCTGGAGTGCAATGGCGCGATCTCGGCTCACCGCAACCTCCGCCTCCTGGGTTCAGGCAATTCTCCTGCCTCAGCCTCCTGAGTAGCTGGGATTACAGGCACGCGCCACCACGCCCAGCTAATTTTTTTGTATTTTTAGTAGAGACGGGGTTTCACCATGTTGACCAGGATGGTCTCGATCTCTTGACCTCGTGATCCACCCGCCTCGGCCTCCCAAAGTGCTTGGGATTACAGGCTTGAGCCACCGCGCCCGGCCTAGGAATCCCATTTTATAGAAGAGGAAACCGATTCTCACAGAGGTGATTTGTCCAGGGCGGTACAACCAGAAACAGCCTGAGCCAAATTGGCACCAAGGTCTGTTGCCCAGAATCTCCTATTCATCTTCTCTCTACCAGTCATGGTGGGTGGAGTCCAGACCTTGGATGTTTGTCCCTAAATCAGGGGTAAAGGTGGAGCAACTCTAGGTCAAAGGTCATGAGATCGGATTTGAGCAGCCTCTGCTCTCAGCTCCATATTTCTTCCTCTTTTCTCTTCCAAGAGCAGGGACCTCACCCAGTCCCATTCCTGGCCTTTTGGAAGAGCAGGGGCAGGGGGCAGGGGGATGTATCCTAGTGACTGATTAAGGCAGAACTCCTGGACCTCTGGGATTTCTTTTGCTGTCTCTGTTGGACACCCTCCCCATCTTAGCCTCAGCCTCCCACCAGCAGCCCCAGAGCCATGTTGGCGGGGGAGAGGCTTTTCTGTTTGGTTTGAGGCAGCCTGGGCCCCACACTGGGGAGAAAGGAGTTAAAGCCAGGTCCCAGGATCACAGGGACCGGGAAGTTCCGGTAGTCCAAGCTGGAGTGGGTTGGAGAGACCCGCAGGAAGAGCGGTTTGGGACAAAAGGGGGCGGTGCCAGCCATGCCAATCCGTGCTGCACCCCCATCAGCGCTCGGCATCCGCCGGTAGACCGCCCCCCACCCAACCCCCAAGTTCCACGCCTGATTTCTCCCTTCCCGCCCCCGCGGGCCGCCTGAACGCCGCGGCCAGTTTGAGGCCCACCTGCGGCCCCCTAGAGCCAGGAGGGGCTAGCATCCCGGCGGCCGCCAGCCCTTCGGGTGCGCGGAGGCGGCGGAGGGGCTGCGAGGGGCGGGGCCGGGGCGGGCGGAGGGAGGGAGGGAGGGAGGGAGGGAGCAAGGGAGGGGTGCGGGGAGATGCTGAGCCTACGGGAGAGGCGGCGGCGGCAGTGGAGAGAGCGGGAGGAGCGAGGCAAGGCAGGAAGGAGGGAGCCGGAGGCCGGGCTGGGTGGCTGCACCGGGTGCTGGCTGCGCCGCGCTGTTCTCGGCTCCCACGGCCTCTCCCATGCGCTGAGGGCGCCCGGCTGGGCCGGGCCGGCGGCGGGAGGGGAGGATCCTCTCCATGGTCCAGAAGACCAGCATGTCCCGGGGCCCTTACCCACCCTCCCAGGAGATCCCCATGGAGGTCTTCGACCCCAGCCCGCAGGTGAGGCGTCGTGGACCGGCCCGAGGGAGGGGGCCGCTCCCGTGGACCGTGTAGGGGTCGGCTCGAGAGGCGCGGGAGAGGAAGGGGTTCTATGCCTGGCGCCGAGGGGAGAGGGATGCCTGCGGGCCCCCATCCTTGCAGGCTGTGATTGATGGGCGCTGGGCCTGGGGCTGGGAGGCGATGCTGCAGAGCGGGGAGGGGGCGGGTTGGCTGCCTGTCACCCTCGCCGTCTTCTCCCCCGCGTCAGGGTTCCTGCCGCTTGGGCACCGGCTTCAGTGGGCTGAGCGTGGGGGTGCTGGTGGGGAGGATCTGGGCCTTGCGAAGGGGCGGTTGAGGAGGCTAGAAAGCCAGCCAGGCTAGGGGGGCGATGCAGAGCACGCTCGGGGGCGCCAGGCGGGTGTGGGTGGGGCGGAGGTGGCACGGGGAGATGGCCAGAGGGTGGTGCCAAATGCCAACAGGCCTTCAAAGCCGAAAACACTGGTTCTCGAGGGTGGGGAAAGGGCCAGCTCCAGGCGAGGCCCCCTTCCAGCCACCTGGGCTCCATCTCTACGTCGGACCTGCTCCCTTCCCCCACACCCACGTTGACTTTCCTCACCCCCCACCCCCGCCCCGAAAACGCCTCCAAAGTTTGGAAAGTTGGATGGCTGCCAACGCACTGTCCGGGATGGGGAAAAGCTGTTTTACCTGAGGGAGGGGTCTGCTTCTCCATGCCGGCCCGCACACTTTTCCTATGCCCCGGGTTACCCCCAGGAAGTGGCATTCTTGGGCGCACTGGGTTCCCATGGAGTGACCAGCAGGCCCTGGGATGGTCGTGCCAGGGGATTTCTTTGGGACTCGCCTTCTCCAAGGGTGGCATTAACTCTTCTATTACTGTGGCCACAGCTGTAACCACCATGATAATGTGGTTGATGGGGAGGTAGAGGGGTCAAGTCAGACCTAAAAATACCTTCCTCCATCCCGGGCCCCTTTGAACTCGGGAGGCAGCTGACTGAGGCCTTCCCTTCAGCTGTCCCCTGTCCCTCTGAGTGCCACTCCCTTGCCCAGCGTGGTGGTGGGGGGAGGGTGGTGTCTGGGACTCACTGGGAGATCCTCTTAGGTTTGTAGGGAGCGTCAAGCCTAGAATTTGGGTGTATGTGTGGTTTGAGAGAAAGGTGGGGAGGGGAGGATCTTGCAAGGGTCCCCAGGTGCCCTCCTCTCCCATTTTCCATCCTCTTTCTTGTACTCTGATCCCAGCAGCCACAACCCCCAGTCTGGTTGTGGCTCCTCTAAGGTTCTTTGGCCAAAGAAAGTCTAGGTGGGAGACTGAGGGCCGGGACTTGGAAGCCTGAGCCTTCATTCACTCTCCCCATTCTGGACTGGGCTGAGGCCAACTGTGTGTATGCATGTGAGCTGGG